TCCAAAACTTATAGATCCAGATCAGACACGATATGTGGCTGGTAGATACAGTGGTAAAAATCTACAACTCATTGTCGATATCATATCGCTCACTACACAAAGAATTATCCAGGTCTAATAATGTATTACTAGTGGATTTTGAAAAAAAAAAGTATTATGATACATTTGGTAATAGGGCATTGATTTTTTTATATTAAGACAACAAGTTCAGGAAATAGATCTTAACGTTGAACTCAAAAACATCTAGCCTTGTATTTAGATATGGATTTAGTTCTAATGAATTCAGAATTGAGGGATGTGTTCAACAAGGGTGTCTTTTGTCTCCTTTTCTGAATTTATGTTGGACGTTAAACTGCTTGCAGTAAGTATTCTTTAGAACAATCAGATATCATGTATAAATATTGGTGACACTAAAATAAAAACATCACAGTTGGCTAATGATTTTACAAGATGAATATTCTGCGCGAGTTTTGTAGAATTTATTTAGTGATATTGAGAAGTGTTCTGGGTTTAAAGTAATTTTTTTCTAAAACCAAAGAAAAATGGATTGGAAGGAATAAATTCAACAAAGACTGTTCCCTTTCCATTATATAGAAAAATAGCTTTAAATACTTGTGTTTAAAGTCCTATTCTTTATAAGAAAAGGGTCGATGCCACTGCTGGTGGAGGTGTCATCCCTGAAAGTATCATCATTCCAGGGGTTAGTATAAAATTATGGAGATGTGGTATGATTGCAAATGAGACAACAATTAACCAGAGTTCAAATATAGAAAAATGGAATCAGCTATTAAAGTGAAACAGATCGGTAACCTTTATTTGATAGGTACACTTGTATTTTCTAAATCACTGGAAACATCTGATTCAAAAAAGGAGATGTGGTATGATTGCAAATGTAGTAGAAGTTAGCAACTATAGGTCAACGTACGGCCTTCAACAATAAGCAAAACCTATACCACATAGAAAGCTATAAAAGACCCCAATATGACAAATTTAAAATAAAATTCAAACGAGAAAACTAATAGTCGGATTTATGTACAAAACAATAAACAAAAGAAATATGATATACAGCAAAAAACAAAAAACGACAACCACTGAATTCCAGGATTCTGACTTGGGACAGGCACATACAGAAAGTGTCGGGCTTAACCATGATTGCAGGGCCCAACCCTCCCCTTTTCTGGACTGTGGTGCAACAGCACAACATAAGAACAAACTATAAAAATCAATTGAAAAGTATGCTTTTTTTGTGTAGTTCAATGTAATCATGTGCCAGTTTCATATGTAACTAAAATACAACATGATATTAAATTTTTTAAGGAATAGTGGCATTCCGAAAGTGAAATCAGAATTTATTTAAGAGTATAACACTGCTGGTGATCCGAAACTCCTAAATTTTGTATTTCATCTATTTAACTCAGAATTATGTAGGTAAAAAAAAATGTGTAATATCCTTGGAAAAGTTTGACGGAAATTTGTTCAACCGTTATACGCATTTCATGTGACAAAATAATTTATTTAGTTCAACCCTTTTCTCATAGTTAACAGTAAGAGTATATTTTACGGATTTAGGTGTTCATAGACATAAAGCTCATCAATTATGACAATAGGGAATCTTTGTCTCTTGAAGCTATCAATTCAAAACATAACTTAAAATGTTACTTTTTTGGACATTTTGTCTATAAAATTTTTGTACAACGTGATTGAACAGAGTTGTTATTACAACAACAAATGTCATCTAACAGCAACTCATTCGGATTTGGTTTTTGAATATAAGAATTAAAAGTACCGATCAGTAAGTTGTTTGCAATAGATATTTATTCTCTTTCTTGACGAACATAGATTTTACGTCCATCTCACAACAAAGTTTGGAAGAAAGCTTTGTCTTACAATTTAGTGATGAAAATTGAAAAAAAATATACAATGGCTTTTTAATATACTATAGAAAGTAAACTCTAAGCTTTTCCATATAAAATCTTAAATATAATTGTCTCGCATAACTATCGTCTTGATAAAATATGCTTTTACAGATAGAAATGAATATGTGAGTTTGTAAGAGGTAGAAACTATATATAATATTACTTTTTGGATGCACTGATATAAATCGATTTTGGAATGAATTTCTAATTGGAGCCGTTTTGCTTTTGGATTAAGACAATTATTTTATAAAGACTGTTGCACTAACTGTAAAAAGTAAAATAACAAAAATACCGAACTCCAAGGAAAATTCAAATAGGAAAGTCCCTTATCAAATGGCAAAATTAAAAGCTCAAACACATCAAACGAATGGAAAACAACGGTCATATTCCTGACTTGGTATGTAGAAAATGGTGGATTAAACCTGGTTTCATAGCTAGATAAACCTTTCACTAAATGCCACATAATTATACAGACTGTCATTACAATGTAAATATGCATTCTTTTCTTAAATTGTAAAAAGACGTTTGGAAATTTCAGAATACTTATAATCTAAATACCAAAAAGAAAATCATTTAAAAAGAGACATGATGTGTTATGTGAATAAAAAGAGATGTGGGTATACGTCAATTAGACAGAGATTCAACAACATAAAATAACCAAAATACATCTAGAGGGCAACATATAATACAGTCTTTACCAACAGATAGGTGTGAATAGATTGTGCTGAAAAAAAAAAGATAAAACGTCAACATCCAAATCTCCTCAAATAACAAGGAGCACATGCACCGATATAAGCAGTAAGTTCGGTAATGGTCCCTGAATATTATATGTTTCAAAATAAAAATTGGTTCGACGTGACAAAAAGACATGTAAGAAAGAGGAATAGAAACTATTTTTATCAACCTATTCTTCTAATGTGTTGACATTTACACCCTAAATAGGCCAAATTTTGGTGAAAGTCGACACAAGCGTCTTGATTTCTACATCATTTAGGCCTAGGAAACATATTGCGTAGGGTTCGACAAACCAAATATTCAAAAAGTCAGATATGTTATTTGTTATAGCAAACATGGTGTTAAAGATTTTTGTCGCGGTATGCTTCTGTTCCTAACAACCAATGGAAATTGTCCTGCTTACATTTACTTTTATTGAAAATCAAACTTTGTGGTAATTATGACGTCTTGAAAAATAACACTGATTCGTAATTTTCAACAAAGAGACTTCTGAAATAACAGCTAGAAATAAGGGCCGTATGGGGGCATTATCGAACCTAATCTTTTGAAAATCTATGTCAAGCAATTTTCTGCGTTAATCGATATACCTGTTCCTCATACTTAATGTCAAAGCATGAAATAATGTGAAAAACGAACAGTTGAATGTACTTAAACGATATACTTATAGTTCCAAAAGACAAAATTATTGGGTATATAAAAAGAACGGCTGACAACGAATAAGAAACCAGAACACGAAAAAACTGTCAATGATATTACTTTACGGACCTTTAATTATCGGTAACTTTAATCAGACTTATGAAGGAAAATTCGACAACCTCGCAAATATTAATCCAGTTTTAATAGTATTCTTTCACAAAAATACTGCTACTACTACATGTAGTGCTACGTCATCGCTTTTTACCTTATTGGAGGTTATTAGTCCACACTGAATCTCTTTTAATTCTCCTGATGATATTGTACTCTCTCTTAAATGAATCCCCTTTTTTATACTAGCTTTTGGTGGGGTTATTGTTCGCGCTCAATAGCTTGTGTTGATATCAAATATTAACATACCAACATTATAATTATCTTTACTCTCCTGTTGATATTCCTTCCTTTTTGCAACAGTGTTTATCTCTTTGTCGTTCCTATGACCCGAATTCGGTCATAAGCACCCGCCAAAATCTTGTTTCAAATCTCAATTTTTGGGCTCCATACAGATAAGACCGATTGCAATTTTCCGGCAGTGGCGTAGCTTGATCCTTGTTTATAGTGAGGTAAACGACTCCAGGCCTCAGAATGCATCATGGGCTACAATGCTGATCATGATTGGGAAGAATTGTTTAAAGGTCGAAACCCTACAGATACAAACAAGCGAATTTTATAAAGAATTTACTTGCTGATTGATCTTTTTAACGTCCAAAGGCATGATTCAAATTGAGATACTGTGTCCGCGTTTCGTTTACAAGCGTGAATACAGGATCTGTGTTTTAATCAGACTGAAGGCAAATATTTTTACATATTCAGGATGACAACAAATCAACAAGTCCAGTATGTAGGTTCTTCGAAATGGGTGGATCACGGGATGACGGGAAGTTTAGACTAACACTGGTGAAAGAGGAAGGATAGGAGAGACATATGGTCCTAATAGAACATGACAACTACGAAACTCTGAGATAGATGTAACAGTTATTCCTTGACGTACAGATAGCTTGATTCTCACCCTGATCATGCACTAGCAGATTTAACGCCCAAAGACCATTCTGTCCGGACTTATCTGTTTATATACTGTATAGAAGAATATTTGTGTATATACTGTATAGAAGAATATCTGTGTATATACTGTATAGAAGAATGTCTGTGTATATACTGTATAGAAGAATATATAAGAATATATTTATCAGGCAATCAAAAACCGTCCAAGAAATGGACACACACCAACAATCTCATAAACACTATCTAGAAGTATATAATGATTCGGCAACACGAACCAATATATAACCTTCAGATGAAATCATGTGCTCCGGATGGGTAAAAACTAATAAAAGATAACAAGTCTAGAGTTTGGTACGCCAGACGGGCGTTTAATCTTAGTGAAAGTACCTGTTTCAATAGTAAGTGGACAACCACATTACTTTCTGCGGAGCGGTTGGAAGGATTTTGAAAATGATTAATCTGACCTATAACGAAATGTTTTTTTTTTAATTTTAATTTTTTGTTTGTTTAATAGTCAGGCTTTTACAACCCCTTTACATCACCACCTGACTATGGTGTTAAGGGTTTTGATTATTAAAAACTAAACAATAATCTACAGTTTTTCTACTATTATAAATATATATTATATGAATATAAACGTTATAACAAAAAGGAGTAGAGAGCACTGGAACACATACACACATTCTTACACTTGCATTTAGATAACATAACTTGTTTATTGCAAAGGAAAATGCTATATTGGCAAGCAAAAATCTGCTCTATATGAACAGAAGATATTCGTTGTAAGTTTATTCAATTTTTTTTTATCATAGTTTGAATCAAAAGTAACTGATACTTATCAGTAAAAATGTAATCTACTGGGCTGTAACATTTTGGAAAAAAAATATGTGGTAACATTTTCTTTGCTTTATAATATTCATTTGCTTGGTATTTTCTTATTTCAACTTTTAGCTCTAGAATATTCGGTTTTTTATCATACAATTTGCATTTTTATATACAGCTTTTGGAATAAAATTAACAAATTGAAAAGTAAACTCCATTTTAAGGCCAAGACAAATGTGGGTCTGCATTAACGTAAAGTTCACGAAATGTTTTTTTCAATTTTCTTGAAAAGGATTCCAATATAAGATGTGCTATTGAACACAAATGCTACATGGTATCAACAGAAACCTTACAAAATGTACCAAGTATTGAATCTTTAAGTTTACAAGAAAGTATTGGTTGCAATTTTTCAAAGCAATAATTTATCTTGAAAAGTTCCTACACATGTGTCTTTACATTTTGTTTTACAATGATAATATATTCTGAACAATTTCTATATCTAGTAATAACTTCCATTGGAAGAATTCGTCTTTTGGCAGATGCACATTTCTATCTACAAGATCTTTGAATACAAATTTATCATTTTTGGTGTACTATAATCTTTCCAGTACAATTAAAAGTTTCAAAATTTACAAAAGCACAGTTCTCTTTAATATGTTATCTTATATGCTATGGAATGTTTACAATAAGACTATAAAAGTTCAGGAAATTGTTTTTCTGAAGTCTTACTCTCTTGAAACAAAAATTACAAAAATCCTAAGTTTTTCTAACAAGGTTAAAAAATCTGCACTTTTCTATTTTGCCACAGAATGTAGTAGCATAATCTACTAGAGTTGACAAACTCAAAATATCTAATGACAAAATATCTTGAACAGAAATACTAGTAGTTTGCTTTTCTAAATGAAAGCTAAATAATACATCCTTTCAAAAAGGCAGTGATTTCGCTGAGTTTCTCCTTTTCTCTTTCTCCCCCATACTGTTAAATGATCGACAATAACAATGACTGTCATTAACCATATGAACTTGGAATATATCGCATTATTTAACTAATCTTAATATATCAATTATAATAATGTAAAAAATCAAATCTAAACCTTCAATGAAAATATCTCCAAAAAATGTTCTTCGTCTAATTGTATCAAATTTTCCATTCCATGTGAATTGCTAATTGCAAGTAGCAATTGGGTGATAATAAACATTGGATTGTTACTAAACTAGGAATGCAGGATGGGGTTCGTTCAATTGTGGCTACAATTTCAAAATGCACTTGGTCATCTGCGACAAAAATATCCCTTAAAGGAAAATTAAATCAGGATGACGTCAGTAATTTTCAAAGTGTTGATTTTAACAATATCTTTACTAACCTTTGGTATAGGAACTTAAGTGTAAGCAGCGACTCTCAAGGAGACAAAGAAAAAAAAAACTGCAAAGAAGACCGTATCAAGGGGACATACATACCCCGTATGGAGATGCTGGAGTGGTGATATCCTTTATTTCATCTACATACAGCAACTTTAAATTAAAAGATAGTGAAAGCTTCACTTCATTCTTCTTTGGAACTCTGTATGAAAGATGTCCCATAGGAATAAAGAAAAAAGTCCGTGAGATAACGGGAACAGTTGGTTTCCATATGAATACCACCAGTCCATTATAAAAAAAAAACCCCACAAAAATAAAACAAATGTATTGTCAAAAAAATTCTAACATTTCATGACAGTTTCACAGAACTTCATGCTTGAATCAGAAAGTTTTTCTTTTTACAAAGTATGATTTGTCTATTTAAAAAAAGTATAGTTGCTGGCCTTTTTATGAAAAACAATTCAATTTGTCTAAGCCTAGAAATATACATACTTGTTTAAAGGGGAGATAAGTCAAATGTTGTGAACTATTTCACTCTATACCACGGAGTACACGTAAATTTCTACTCACAATTATTATTATTTGGTCAGAAATTTTGTGAGGTAGTTACCTAACTTCCTCAATGGAATTATGGTAAAACAATAATCAAGAATCTATATGCAAAAGTAAATCGTGTGCGTCTTACTATCAAAATATCTGGTAAAAAAAAACGTTGGTTTAGGGGTTTCCTAAAGAATAATACAATTTTAAAAATACAAAAAGGAAAGGTCTGTCAGAACTTATTCAAAATTGAAAAGTTACCATAGATGCAATTCTATATGCGTTAAACAGAAACATGTTTTTTAACTCTGGCTGTTGGCCTTTTCTTTGATGTGCCTGAAAATTGAATACATATCATTTGATTAAAAAGATAAAACGTACTCGATGTTTTTTTGTTGTGTTTTAATTTTTATGGCGTAATGCATTTCATATTTATTTAAATATAAAGGGAATAGTTTAACACATATATTCCATTACAACTGATGAGTGTTATGTAGACGTCTGCAGTACCAGATTATGGTTGACAGATAAGACGTGTCTGCGTCTCAACACCTTAACGACATGTTTTCGCTGTCTTAGAACTTTGGATATAACAATAGTAGTCCAATCTGTAATTTTATTTATTGTGTCCTATTTTGAGTGTGAATTCGCATTTTGGTGATACATGCATAGCATGACACTCTTATCCTGTCAACACATACACCTAGCCTCGCTCATTTTTTAGTTCATGCGATTCCTTATATACTTTGTTTTTTTAAATTGATTTGTATCTTCTAAATCGATTTTTGAGATTTGTAAATCAATGAACTACTGTTGCCTAAATGTACCAAATTATAAGTGTGATATCTTTGATAAGTTTTAATGCATACGAGCTGTTATCTGTTATACCGAAATAGGAGCCATACACTTTTTTTCAGCAATGTTTTTATTGCACGTTCATCTATTTATGTTTTGTTATTCTAATGAGTCATATAAAAAGAAGAAAGCTAATAAACGTAGCCTAGTTTAACCCGCCACATGTTAATATACCTTTTTCTAATTTAGGAACTTTGTTTTATAGCTAGCTAAACCTCTCACTTGTATGACAGTCGCATAAAATTCCATCATATTGACAACAATGTGTGAACAAAACACACAGACATAATTGGTAAAAATGTCAAAAATATGGGTACAGCAATCAACATTGTTTTATAATCTAAATCACTATAAAACAAACAAGTATGTCAACAAAGAAAAACAAAATGGCATAAAGACAAAGCACATAAGCAAAAATGAAAGACAACAATACAAAAAATGATCATATCACAATAACACAATGGCGGGATGTATAAATACCGAGCCACGCCAAAAGGATATTACAAAAAATGGACGAAACAGTAAAGGTTAATCATTTACAAAGACAAATAAAAGAACACTATAACACGTAATTAAGATGATAAATATTCTCAGCACCTAGAATCTATACATCAAGACCATCATGTATTATTTGTGAAGTCGATACGGAATATTTATCAACAAGGTCTTGGTATCTTCCGATGAACTTTTTTTTAGAAAAAGGACGAGACGTTCTTTGACATAACCCTGGTTCATCAACTTTCTGCTCAGACACTGATGACGTTTTATAAAGTCTGAGTAGTAGCTGCAAGCTCTTGAATGAGTTTGTAAATGTATATACCATATGCAGGTGAAGTTGGTATAGTGCTACTAAGGTGGGGGAAATTGATAACTTCAAAATTAAAATCGTCTCGTTTGCCATAGATTCTGGTACTGAGATGACCGTTTATGTCAAATTCGAGGTATAAGACTAAAAACGAGGCGGAGAAAGCCGTGTCTGTTGTTTCTTTAATTTCTAGTTCTGGAGGATATATTAATGGAACCAAATCAGAAAAGTTTGGATTGTTAATGGAAAGAACATCATCAATATATCTGAATGTGAAATTAAATAATCTGGCTTCTTTGATCTTCTTGTTTTTGACAAGTGTCTGATGGAACTCCGACTAATATGAAAAAAAGAAGAGGTCGGCAAGGAGAGGCGCACAGTTCGTAATCATGGGAATGCCGACAATTTGTTGAAAAAGTCTACCTCCAGATTCAACAAATATGTTGTCAATAAGAACTCCAGCATATTTGTTCCTCTGTGTAGCATGTTTTACCTTTTTGTTCACTATTAACAAAATATGATGTATGGTATTCCAAAGTAATAAATCTATAGCGTATGCTACCATTTATATATTGAAAAACATTGTGAATTATTTCTTTTAGACGACTTTTCAATTTCACATGGGGAATTTGTGTTATATGTGTTGCTGTTAGCTTTGCATAAAAGTAAATGGTCTTTTTTTAGAAACCAAAATATCATTGAATGACTTGATTGAAGATCGAATTTGACTACAAAATTCATTTTTGAAAATGTTTAGATGATAATGTGCGAGTCAAAAATACATTTTGAACCATTTTTGGAGTGTAAAAAAAATCTTTGGATGTTTTAGATAAATTACGTGCTTTTGATGGTCCTTTTGGTTCGGTTGACAGTTTTTACTTTTCCACTCTTTATACTACACTTCCACACAATCTTATCAAACAAAAGTTTTCCATCTAATTAAATGGTCGTTTGATAAATCTGGTTGCAAATTTATTTGCTGCAACTCATATAAAGTCCTTTTCAATAACGAGAAAGGTAAATATGCTAGATATACTTACTGGAGGTGTGATGAGATGATTAAAGCACTAAATTTTCTCCTCGACAACATTTATAAACGTTCCGGCAATAAAGTTTATCGACAGGTTGTAGGTATTCCTATGGGCATCAGTTGTGCCCCTTTAATAGCAAACTTATTCCTTTACTGTTATGAATCAAAAGTTTATGGCCAAACTCAGTAAAGAACCGTCACAATTCCATTGAATTGATAAATTCAACAACACTTACCGTTATCTTGATGAAATTTACCAAAAGAACTTACTTAATAAATAAAATATTAACAGCAATATCCGTCCTTTCCTAGATTTAGATATTTCAGTATTACACCAGAAAATCTACACAAAATTTTACGACAAAAGGGATGATTTTTCTTATTGTTAATTTTCCCTTTTTGGACGGTGATGTTCCTTTGGCACCGTCTTTATGGTGTTTATATATCCCAACTCGTTCGCTTTGCTCGTGTCTGTAGTGACGTTTTGGATTTCAATGAGCGTAATCTATGTATTACTAGTCAGGGATTTCGATACCACAAATTACTTAAATCCTTTACTAAATTCTTTCATAGATACAAAGATTTGGTCTGCAAGTTTGGCTGTACCCGTAGAAAACTTATTTCAAGCAGAATAGCACATCCTAAATTTTACGGTGATGTTGTAAACCGTGCCCGTAAATTTAGATACGATCCGGGTAAACTTATTAATCCTTTAAATAAACTTATTCTAAAAGGTTATCTATTCAACACTGTAATTAAATCTTTGAATATTGTTTTTATTGGTATACATATTGATTTAGTTATCAGTAAATTAAAATCATACAAAATATTACACATAAGTACTTTCACGGTACTTTAATCTGTCGATACTTATAGTTTGGCATTGCACAAGGTCATGTTTTTCTCTGACTGTTTATGACGCCTTTACACTAAATCTATTGGATGTTGGATGTGTACTGATTGATATTTTAGTCTTAGATACATGATTTTTTTTATTAGTTGTTATTGACTTTGAACTAGCTGCCAGTTACTGCGAGTACTCTCAGATATGTACCTAGAGTCCTTTTTGTTGTTAGGGATGAGGGATTGATAAATACTCGGCCACGTCCGATCTGTGTTTTTGTTTAATTGTTCTGCTTAGTGCCTTTTTGTTTTTGGGATGTATAAGTACCCATCCACGATCACTCTGTGTTTTTGTTAGATGTATTTCTATTTGTATCCATCTGATGAGTTAAACCTTTTTCAACTGATTTTCATAGTTTGTTCTTATGTTGAACTGTTACACCACTGTCCCAGGTTAGGGGAGGGTTGAGCGCTCACAAACATGTTTAACCCTGCCACATTCTTTATGTGCCTGTCCTAAGTCAGAAGCCTGTAGTTCAGTGGTTGTCCCAAGTCAGAATCCTGTAGTTTATGGTTGTCGTTGGTTCATGTCTGTCATATTTGTTTTTCGTGAATTGTTTTGTTATGAATTAGGCCGTTAGTTTTCTCAATTGAATTGTTTCATATTTTTTATGTCGGGGCCTTTTATAGTTGACTATACGCTATGGGTTTTTCTCATTGTTGAAGGCCGTACGTGTGCCTATAATTGCTTACATCAACTTCATTTGAACTTTGGTGGATAGTTGTCTCATTGGCAATCATACCACATCTCCTTTTTTTTATATCTAATTGATGTCAGTAAAATTTATTTTCAATGACAATATTAACATTATAAAAGGGAAAAATAAAGTATCATTAAAAGCAAAGTGAAATAACTAAAAGACGTCCATTTGTTCTTCAATGCCTTTCATAACAGACGATTTCAGAGGTACACAAACGTTTTTGAGTATTTACATATTTTTAAATAATTGTATAAACGAATCGAATTGAATTACAGTGAAGACTGATTTTAATATGAACCGATCAAATAAAATAAAAAAAATCCTTTAAATTACCACTTTCTTCAAATAAGTTACTATTATTTTAATTAATCCTTCCGGTCATACATGTAGGTCTAGGTATAAACAAAATTCTCTCGTTAATTCTTTCTTATGGTTATACTGATCAATGATTATCGGTCCATACAAAGTCTTGTTAAACTTAATAGTGATATTTTAACAGTTAAGATTTACTGAATTTTTATAATTTTGGGGTACTCTTAAAACCAGTCAAAACATCATAATTGCACATTGTTGTAACTGAAAATTCAGAAAATCTCAGATGACACATTACATATTCATTACATAACAGTACAAGAACTTTTGTTTATCTTTTCCTTCCTGCAAAAAATGCTGAATTGATTGTTGGTTATATTCCTTAAAAGCAGCATAAGCTACCACTGGTAGCAAGGTTTCAGTCTAAAACGTCCATTCTGGTCAGATCAAATATTAATCGACTGAATTTACCACAAAAGAAAAATTTTAAGAATTTTTCAGACTTTCAGATGCTGTTCCGATCGATAGTGTTAAGTCCGTTCAGTTATGGCAAAATAAACAAGACACGCTCCCCCTCTGATTGGAGAATTAATAATATATCATTTTTTAGCACAAAGTCGTAAAATTTGTTTTAGCTTCGCTACGCTCGGAGGCGAAAATTTTTTTGAGGTAATTTTATCGAAATATTCTTCAATTAAGCTGAGGATTTCCCACGCTTGGCAAATTTTAG